TTATTTATTTGTTAAAAAAATGTGAACACTGTTTCGGTTAAAAAAAAAAAAAAGGAAAAAAAAAAATAGAAAAAACAAACAAACAAGAGTGTCTTCGATCAAAAATCCATTTAAAAAAATCAACATTTTATTTATTCACACGCGCATACGTGTGTAACGATAATTATGATAATTGTCTAATGACGGGTGAAATAATCATTTCACAATTTATTTGATAATATAATAAGTTGTTTTTCTAACTTATCGTCACATAATTATCTTAATTACCGTTAAATACCAAAAAAAAAAACACTAAAAATATATAAACATTTAATTTCTTTTGTTATTATTTAAATACTTAACATAACACGCCGCGTATGGTAATTTGCCTAAGCGTTTATTTAAATTTAACTTTTCATTAAATGTTTCAATTATATTCTTTTGTATGAATTTAATTAATGTCAAAAATGATTTCTCATTAATTTACTATTACTTCAGTTATCCAAATTTTATTTTTTATGTTAGATATTAATGTGTGTGTGTGCGTCTTCGTATGTATGTTTTTACGTTAGCCCATATCCTCGGTAAATGTGTCCAGATATAACAGGGGAAGGCGGCGAGCTTACATTAAATATTAAGCTTGCGCGAGTTAATTGATCAGAGCAAGCCAATTAGTTTCATTATGTTACCTCCATCTTCGCGAGTTTCGCACAATGGACGACACGAGTAATATCGGGGACAGTGGGTCTCTCTCTCCGTGTGGGTAGACCCTCTTTATCGCATCGAGATACGTAAGAGGATGAAAAAAAAAAAAGAAAATTATTTCATAACAAAAAAAGAATAAGAAAAAAGAGAGAGAGAGAGAGAGAGAGAGAGAAAACATATAATAAAGTTATTATATTATATCGGTCTTAAGAAACATTTTTTTTCTTTTTTTTTTTCTTTTCGTTATTTCTAGGGAACGTGATATTATTCGTCCTACTTTTGATTTTGCAATAACATGAGGGATCCTATCTCGGTTACATACATTTTTTTTATCTAACGTTTATTCGCTATTTTTCTTTCTTTCTTTTTTTTCTAATTGTTTTATACTCTTGTCGTTACGAAATTGATTGGTTTTGTAATTTTGATTTTGATTAATCATAGATGGATCCAAATTTAAAATACTAAGTTACGTTAATTGCTTCGCACAATGTCTCTTTTGAATGAAATTATATCTTTAATGATTGAATAGATATTTAAAAACAAAAAATGACGCAATTAAAGTAAATAGTATCTTATCATTTAATTATTAATCATTAATGTGGACATTTAAAAGAAACAAAAATATTAGCAGCTAAAAATAATGTGGATATTTTTGTTAATTGGTATAATTCATATATATAATTGTTATTTCTTATTTTAATATTTATGTAGATAAAATTTATAAATGAAAATGATGAAATGCTTTGTCACATATTGTTATTTCGATTCAAAGTTAGTGGGTATTACGATTTAAAAAAAAAAAGAGAAAAAAGAAAAATGTTATGTTACAGAATAAAAAGAGATTATTCGTTAGAAAATAATGCAGAAGGGGATGGGAGACATTGTTGTCCTACTAACGGTGTACCGATTAAACGCAGGGTCTCTAAAATATGTTCTATATGTTCGTAACTTTTGTTATCGCGGCATGACCGCGACGATGTAGTTTAGTGCAAGGTTAGCTGACGATGAGTGAAGTGGCAATGGTCTCTGCTGTTTGGATTCCTTGACAGCAATAAGAAGGAAAACTTATTCCATAGGGGATCTCACAAATTTAACGTAAGTCCATTTTTCAATTCGAATTTCATTTCTTTGAACTGGAATTTTTTTTCGATTCATTTAAAATCATTTTCGTCGAGTATAATGCAGGAATATTATTTATTTATTCATCAGAGACAAATTTATGAATTGAGAACGTTAAAGATTTTTTATTTTTTATTTAAATATTTTTTTTTTATAATTAAAAATCACATATTCTTTTATTTATTTATTTATCGTTCTCGTAGAAAAATATTGTTCGAACGTAAAACGGGAGAGACAAAACGCGTTGCGCGAAAAATATTATTTATTTTGCTTAATATATATATCGAACCCAAAAATAAATAAATAAAAATGAAAAAGAGCAGAAATTAAAATATATTTTCAACGACGGTTAATTGACGAGTTATTTTGAGTTTGTAATAGTTAATTATCCTCTGTAATTATGATCTAACAATCGTCGATGCTAATAATGTTTCACGAAACTTTTCCTACTTAGCTACCTCATGTTGTAAAATTTTCTTTCTTTTTTCCTTTCCATCGAATTTCCAATAATTAATTTCGAGCGTGATTATTATATTTTTGATTAAAATAATTATCGTTTTTATTTTCTGATATATGCAAATATGAAGATTTTCTTTTCAACATTTATCAGTCATATTCTTATATTTTAATAATAATAATAATAATATTCTTCCTTATTTTATTAGAATTTTGTCCTATTATAATAGCTTTTTTTTATTGCTATTTCTAAGAGCGATTTATTGTAATATAATAATTATACTTATTATAACAATATAATTATCATAATGAGAGTAAAAAAGGACCAATTACCGCCAGAGAAAAAAACTTCAACAATATAATAAATTAATTAAAAGATCCACAAGAACGACCTTGTCAATGTGAAATTAAGAACGTCGGTAAAGTAGTTTTCTGTGATCTTGAATGCAGACGTTTTGCAATTAATAATCATTTAAGCACGTGCAACAAATTTGTATGTAACAAAAAAATAAAATAAGAAGAAGAAGAAGAAAAAGAAGAAAAATAGATAAATAAAAATTCAATTGTTTGTGCAACGTTTTAAATAAAAAATTGAATATATTTGAGCCACGATTACATGGCGAAGCTATAACGATAAAAAATACATGCAATAAGAACTTTTTCACCTTCATTCTTACGTTATCACATAGCATATCATGTTCGAGTATGTTTTATCGGAGAACATTTAATAGCTACCTTCTATCAGTTTATGTGTTTCATTTATTACGTCTGTACACGTGGTAAAAATTTATTATCATATTGGTAAAAATATTTAGATCACAACGCTATCATTAAATCCTTTTTTTTTTTTTTAAATATATTTCTTTTACTTACGTTTAACTGTGTAAGCAAGGTTCTTTTACGTAATAATTTTGAACCTTTATTATAGTAGATTAAAGAAAAGAAAAACATGAACAAAATTGTTCATAAAAAAATAACTCTCTAACGACTACGATTTTGATAAGACATTAATACGCTAGATTATTTCTTTCAGGGGTATCTAACATTTTTTTATTTACACATAATTTAGTGTTATCGACATGGGCAAGGTTTGTACAAGATTACTAAAATATTTCAACATTAACAAGAAATGTTAATATAAGTTTTCCGATCTGTTGATAAGATAATTTCAAACTTTTATTTAAATAAGACTTCACTATTTCTCTACACTATCAGTAATCTGTAATTATTTGAACTAATTTTTTGTATAAATAAAACGTTTCATAACTTTGATAAGGTTGTAGATATATAAAAGTATTCGTTTTATCTTTTTTTTTTTATCTTATATCAAGCATTTGCAATAATGAAGTAAAACTTTGCATAGATTTCGTAATAAAGCCAAAACAATTGTGGAAACCGAAAGTAATGAAAAAGAAAAATAAAACAATAATTTCTTGATATTTCGTAACGATTGTTCATTTACTTAGGTGAACTTTTCGATTAAAAACAAAAAAATTGAACGATAAATTATAGATAAAACTTTTGAATGATCAAAAGAATTAAAGTACGTCTGTCTACACGTAAACGTTGTTTACCTATCGAACAATGATAAATTTCCATTCGGTTTAATAAATGCATGATTTTAATACGCATAACACAAATGATATCAATAATATTTTTATTCAATACCAACCACCAGTGCGATAGAAATTTTCAAGATATTCGTATACATGTGTTTAAACTATAATAAGTTTACGTTTGTTTTGTATATGCAAACATATAGCACGTGCAATATTAAACCGCAAGATTTTATGCACAGAACGAAATTTATCGTTCAATGAAGCTTTATAAATATCGAGTATGGGATTAAATACAAATTGATGAATCATTCTTTGCAGTTGAATTATTCAAATACGAATACAAAATAATATAAAACAGCATTTATTTGGATTGCTTTTTTAAATTACCTAAGTATATTTTTTACAAAGATGATTTTTTCATTCTGTATATCCAAATAATGAGATTTTGAATTATTTGGACTCAATGATTTTGTTAATTGTTTTCTTTAAAAAAAAAATTATCGACTTTTTAAATATTTACTTATATTATACAAATAATGGGAATGTGAAACTTAAACTTCATTTCTTTTCTTCATTTTTTAAAATTTGTTATGTTTAGTTATTTTTATGAATTTATTAATCAGGACAAATATCATATTCATCAAATGCAAGAATTTACGTTCCTATAAATAAGAGAAATGAATTTTTATTTAATTTAAATTATTTTATTATAATTTTATTTTTATTTAAATTAATGATATTAGTATTGCATAAATTGTATTTTTTCAGTTCCAGAAATTGTTCCAAGGTAAAGTCAAACATTTTACACATTATCACATATAATTATAATATTTTAAATACTGACAAAATTATTTTTTGATAAATATTTTTGAAACGTAAATACTGATAAATTTGTATACTAATAGTAGTAATAAATTATATTTTATTTTAACTAAAGACTATAACATCCAACACAAAGATCCAAAATAATAATTTTTTTATTTTTTTATGTTTTAATTTAGAAATATGATATACGTTTAATTTTAGTAAATAATCCTTCACAGATCATAATATTGATATGAGCCAGTAAAAAAGAAATGTAGTTTTGACGATTACGAAAGGCAAGATCGTTGACTTTAAAAGTGAATATAAATTTCTGTATGAGTTGATTTCTTTGACCGTCGAGTGTTTAGTATAATATAACAAATATACTAACTTTGAAAGAGATGAGAAGACCATGAGTCCTTTGGTAACTGGAAAAACCTGTCGAATGCATTTAAAGGGTCAATCTTCTTATTGATTGTCTTCATGAAAAATAAAACGAGCGTGTATTCGTGTTATGATAGAATATTGAAATACAATTTTTGAAGGATGTATTAATATGTGTGTGTGTGTTAGTAATTTTTAAACGAATCCGTTTGTCCCCTGTCAACTCGTATGATCGATCGAAAATATGAATAGGGTTCTCGATGACTTTTATATAGATGGAGAGAAAAAGAAAGAGAGAGAGAGAGAGAGAAAGAGAAAAGAAATGGTCACGAGAGTAATCAATAATACGATAGGAAGCCCAACACGTCCATTATAATTTATGATATCAATAAAAGAACTATAACTCAATACACACTGTTAATAGCTTTGACGTTTTTCACTGTTTAACACTTGCCAATGTAACATGATACTCACTTAACCTATATCATTCCCCATCAAATTTGCTTTGGATTCTTTTATGTGTATAAACTAAATAATTAATAAAATATATATATCTTTGTGTGTATTATTTATTAAATTTACATGTAACCATTGTTACACGTAACAGATTTTTTATTTACCAAATGAGTAATGTGAAATTTATTATATTCTTTTTTACTATATGCATATTTATTATTATTATTATTATTATTATTATATATTTATGTAATTTACTACATATTTAGAATATTTTTATTTCTAAATTTAAACA